AAGGAAGGCCGGCAAGCCACAGAAAGTCCGGCACAACTGCGTGTACCAGAAAGTTTTTGTCATCATCTTATGGACTAGAGACGAACGATGCGATATATACATGGAGATGTGCCTTTTGGCTGTGAGTTCCCCAGGCATCAAAGAAACAAGACGAACGAAAGGGGGGAGATTGAAAGTTAGCATTCGTGACATACTGCAAGTTTCAAAAGTTCAATCCACGTCGTGTATTCGTGATGGCGCCGACCACCGTCGGCGTGCTCAAAACTTTCACCGGGTGTTAAAGTGGGTTATTGGTGAAAAATCATTGATGATGAAACTACATATATACAGCAGTGCATTGTCTCGACGAACCTTGCTTGTGTGTGTCTTCGTCCTTCTATTCTGGCGTCAGTTCTAACATACATCATACCATTCGGTGATTTTGTGTGACGTACCATTGTAACAGCCGGGGTCCCACAGAAGGAAGGTCTAACTGAGGTGCCTTTCTGTTTGTTCAGTGTGTCAGTACTAGACTAATGTCCCTCCTCGCCCTGTGCTTGTGTAAAGTCTATTGTAGGGTCTATGGCGACAAGGGTTGGCCGTCCCTTTCCCTCTTCGACGGTGAAGTCGAACATAATAGAGTCGTATACTTCAAGGGTATACAAGTACAAGAGAAGGTACGGTATAGACGCTATAAGATTTCATTGTGAAGATGTATCGTAACCAAACAAGGCACAAGTTGTGCCCATAGACACAACACGTGCACTCGATGGCACTCGATGGTGGCGTTTTGCTTTCTATGGAAATCGCGAACGACGGCGGCGGTATCACATCGCCTACTGCTGGTAGACACTCACGTTGTCGCAAATTTCTGAACTGCCAATGCCGCCTTCAGGCTTTTTACTGCGTCGTGGTTGTCCGGGCCGCTGTTTGTGTTAGCTGTCGCTGGGCTGCCTCCACCGTTGAGAGCTTCTGCCTTCCTCGACGACAGCCCTCTCCCAAACTTAGCGGCAACCTTGACGGGGGTCACGTCGAATTGCGTCGATGGCATAATATTTGTAATGAAGGAACATGCCTTTTGACCCTCGTCCGCTATCTTCGTGATCAACTCAGATGGGCCAGCCGTCTGTCCATGTTTGGAGTTCTGGGTCCGTGAGCTGAGATTGGAGTCTCTCTTTTCGCCAATATGTGCTGCCGCGTGCGAGCGTACATGAAATAGTCCTTCGTATTACAAAAACTAACAAAAAGAGTCGCGACAAGACTGTGAATTTTTACGGTTTCATTTTTCATGAACGAACCGTTCTCGTTCCTGTTCGTGCCATCGTTTTTTTTTTTTCACTTGTCGGCTTGTTGGGCCACTATTTTTTTCTTAATATAATACAACAAATCCATCTCCATCTATAGAAATAAGTCAAAGATAGATTAGCGATGAATCCATAGCGTGAGCGAAAGGCTATCTGTATGTCTAAGGTTTCCCAGACAGCATACAACGATATCTCCCCTGTGGGTAACAGGCTCAACAAGGCAGTTTGGTAGCCATTTTTTTTTTTTCTCCCATGATTGGACTCTGTCGTCTGCCCCTCTGGGGCCCCTGTCCTCCACTTCTACTATAATAGATAGACGACACAACCGGGGTCACATAGGAGGGGGGGGCACCTATCTGTATGTTATGTTGGGAAGTTGTAGACGGAAGATTTAGGGGAACTGGGTTTGTCGGGTGTTCTAATAAAGCACCCTTATTATGTGGTTGCGGAGCAAGCGCGTCTCGGGGTGTGTATATTTTCGTCATCAACTTATTTTTTGTGTGTGATGTAGACTATGGGGGCATGTGCGGCGCGTGAGAACATAGACTATTATCCTTGTTGTGTAATGGGATACTCAAGACTCCCTTTCTTCCCCTCGCTGCCTCGGCCAGGTTTTGCGTAGGCATGACCCTTAGCGAGGGGGGGGTCTTTCTAGCGAGCAGGGCTAGACTCGCCTCAAGGGACCGATACCTTCTTGCTGCGGCGCACCCGCCGCGAGGCGTGCATAGTGGTGGAGTTGGGTCGGCACTGGTGCGTCAGGTACAAAGAAAGGTAGGTGCAGATGCGCGGGCCTCCAGGCCGTCGGTGTAGGCAGCAATGCCCATCTCATCTTTGTGCGCGGAGGCAGACGTCATCAGAAAGGTGGACGGGCACTATGTACACGGCCCTAGGTTTGCTAGAGGGAGCTGTACTGTCTCAGTAACCTGGTTTTGCCATCAAACGAGGAGGGGACAGGTGGTGACGAGCTGGTTGGGCTGGTTGATCCTTCGGCGCGAGAATTTTTAGACCAAGAACCCTAAGTGCACAACGAGGGAGAGAACGAGGGACCGACTGGGATGGACAGCAACGAGAGCGTGTACGAAGCGGAGCGGGTCGAGTTTGGTCGTGCTAGGACTGGCCACAGCGGCACCGGAGAAGCGGCACCGGAGCAGCGGAACCAGAGCATGCGGACGGCATCGAACCGTGGCGCACGGACGAACATCTCTTGTGTTGTCAATTATTTCTCCGTTTTTTTCCTGAATACAGGTGTTGGGTGTGTGTGATGACGTCACTGGTTTTGTAGAGAGACGCGGCAGAGATGGCGCGGATAACCCGGGTGCCTTACTTGTGTACCTGCATCGTGGAAGACCCCTTCAATGTGGAACGATTCNAGATGGCGCGGATAACCCGGGTGCCTTAATTGTGTATCTGCATCGTGGAAGATCCCTCCTTTAATGTGGAAAGATTCCTAGTCGGTGTCGATGTTTGCACTGCTGTGCCTTACACAGATGATCTGGATCGATTCGGATGATTGATTGTCAATTGCAATGATGGCTTTGGTCGGGTGTTCTTCTTCATTGCATGTCCACGGACTCATTCTGACAGCACTTCAGACAGCAGCTGCATGCCCCGAGCTTGTGTACCATGCACCATGCATGGTGTTATTTTTGTACAGACAGCACTTCAGACAGCAGTACGCTGTATGTAGTCGACAAACATTCATTTTGGTAAAAAAATGCGGGACAAGGGGGGTGGTGCTGCTGCTGCTGTGTAGTCGAATTGTAGTGTGTGGGCGTGTGGTTCAGTTGTGAGCATACAAACGTGCTGCAGGGATTGCAGGTGTACCTCCTCGGGCTTGCGTACCCTTCTCTTGCTAATAGTGTGTGTGTCCTTTAGATCTTCTGATGGCTCTAGCATTTTTGTGACCACGGACCGAGTCTTTGCTAGATTTTGGGATTAGCAACTGACACGAGTTTAAGGGGTAATATTATCAGGCCGAAAAAATACGCAACTTTTTTCACCGAATAGTAACTTTTTCACGGAACCGTAACTAGGGTTTCCGGTGGTCGGCAGAAAGCGCGAAGGCGCGTATTTTTTTAAAATTTACGGAAAGCGCCACGGCTCGACGTACACACACCGGTCGGTCCCGACCAGGCGAGAGACCCGAGGACTCCCACAACAGACGTGATAAACCCACACCAAGAACAACAACGCCGCTGCCATAAAAACCGCACTCGCCGATATTGAGCCACTGCTGGGAAAGGTTGGCGGATCGGAAAAATCAGAGTGGTCCAAAAAAAAAGAGGAACACGCTTGCAAGACTGCTGAACACGACAGCAAAGCTTCTGGCCTCGCCCTCCACAAGNGTGGTCCAAAACAAAAGAGGAACACGCTTGCACGACTGCTGAACACCACAGCAAAGCTTCTGGCCTCGCCCTCCACAAGGAAATGACCGAGTCCCACGCCGAATTCTCGAAGAAAATTGTGGAGGAGAAGAAAGAAAAAGAAGAGGGTTGTATCAGACGAGAGTTAGATTCCTGCGCAAAATGTTGGCCGGCATCGAGAAGGAAATGTTTGGCGACGAATAACACCCATATGCACTCCCGGAAGAGTGTTACCGTGCAATCGTCGAATTTTATGCATGC